TCCAACTGTTAATATAGCCTTTAACCCCTTAGGATACATGAAATATTCCGTCATCATTTCCCTTTATTCAGAAGTTGTGTCCATTAAGGGTTAGGTTAGTGCTTTCAAGGTACATAAAATTGCTTGATGATATGCCTGAACTGCACTCTAGATAGAGGTAATGATTAAAGAAGTCTCTACAATAGGGTAGTGGAGACTTTTTATTTTTTGAAGTGTAAATATGGATTGTGCATAATTAAGATATAACACTTTTTGTAGTGTGCAGAATTGAGGTTTAGCACCCGAGTACTATTTTGTATTCCTTAAAAAAATGTATGGAGGAGGAGAAGGGACAATTCGCAGTTTCTTAAATTTTTAGGCTTATTGTTATTGCTGTATATATATATATATATATATATATATATATATATTTTTTTTTTTATAGAATTTCACAAAAAAAATTTAAAATAGAGATGGTTCTCAACTGGGATTATATTTTCCGGATTTGGCATTAATACACGATACGACAATGTTCACCTATACTCTAGCTGCAGCATTAAAACAAAAAAAATTGGAGTAAGGAAGGGGTGCTTTCATTGTGAGAAATACAATTTGAAGGGCCATAGTCTATTTTTCACATTATGGCTGAATCCCCAATATAGTAAATTCCTAAACTTGAACTACAGAATCTTGAAAGATGCATTAAAAACTGGGGCAAAGGTGAGAGATAGGTTGGGTATTGGGTATATTCTTACCTCATCCACTCCACTAAGAGCTATTAGCTTAAATATACAAGATATGGATCTTACCGGATGGACTGAGAAATACATATCGACGCTTGCAGATATACAGCTATATAGGGGCATCCAATTGGACAGCTGAGAGAAGAATATGGCCTTTTAATTCAGGATATTTTCCCATATTTGAGGATTAAAAATTGTTTTAAAAATAATCCCATTTCAGAGTCAAATGTTCTGGATGATTTTATAAAGCAACAGTACGGGAATAAACTCATTTCCAGATTAAAGAATTTAATAGTAAATAATCAGAACCGTGCTCCTATTGTTCGTATTGAGAAATGGAAGCGAGATCTTGAGACAGAATTCTCGGTGCAGATCTGGTGTAAAACTTGGACAGAGGTTATAAAATCGGTGCACTCTGCCAATATACAGGAAACATTTTATAAATTGATACATAGATGGTATCTGTTCCCTTATGGCTTTAGTAAGATTAATAAAGAAACCATTGATATATGCTGGAGGTGTAACCAGTTTACAGGGACTTTATTCCACATATGGTGGGAGTAACCTAGACTGTATCAAATCAAACAAGAAACAGAGAAATGAATTTCAAATATCTTACAACAAGGGTATATATTAAGATCGTATTTTTGACTTTTTCATTTGGAAATGCCCCAAACAGATAAGGACACTAAATACCTGTTAATTAATACCCTAATAAACCAAATTGTCAAATATATTTTATTAAAGAGATATTTTTACAATAACAATAACTAACAATGAAAAAGAAAAAAACAAATGTTATACATAAAAAGAGTAAATATCAATGTATCCATTCCATATGTAAATCAATGACGAAAGTATTAAAGAGGCACTTTATAGTCAATTTTAATTGTGATAACATATTGGTATGATTGAACTATGCAATCAAATTACAATGTTACTTATTAAAACAAAAAAACAACAAATAAATTGGGAGGGGGTTGGGAGTTAAAGAAGGAAGTAGAAGAAGAAACAAAAAGGAAAAAATGGGAAGGAGAGTGCATCCATCCACTATAACTTTTTTAACGTTAAATTCTATTGACTATAACAAATTCTAGTATACAAAGCATGACACAATATCTAGTTCAGATTTTTCAAATTCATTTCTTAATACGACAATCAAAACCTATATTCTCTTTCAATCTATGTTTCCTATTCTTCCCAGTAGTGTCTAAGGTTATCTAACTGCAAAGAAGGTTGTCTGACAGCCAATTCATACCCCTTATTTTCTAGTATATAATTAAAAAAATTCTTTAATAGTAGGGATGTTGGTGACCTCCAGTATCTGGGGATGACCATAGTAGCAGCAAAAAGGATATGTCCAATTATAATTTTATCAATTTTTTCATTAGGGAAGCATTTGAAAAAGCCAATCCTGAAGTGAGCACAGGAATATTAGAATTTACTTTTTGGATTAATTTACGTATTTCCTGCCAAAATTGTGTGAGTTTAGGACAATACCAAAAAACATTTTCTCCAACATTTATCTGGATATCTGGAGTTCATTTGATTCAATTTATAGGGGGATAAATACCATCTATAAATTATTTTGAAATAGTTTTCCCAATGATTGAAGCACTGTGTAAGTCCTTTAGGAGCTGGTACAAATTTAAGCCATTCCTCCAGGTTGTAACAAGCTCCCATATCTTTTTCCCATGCTTGTAATCATCTAGGTATGGACATTAGATAAAAGTAACATTGAGATAAAGTACCGCATTTATTAGGGTTATGTAGGTATGTATTTTCCAGATCAGATAATGCATTTTCTGCATAATTTTGGTCTAAATTTTGAATGAAAAAATGTATCTTTCATTTTGTTAATTAATTTGTGTTCTAATTGCACATTATCTTCTAGGCTGAATTTATCCTGAAGTTTCATAAAAGACATTAAAGAATTACCTAAGAAAAAGTCATTTAAATTTTGAATTGATTTAGTGTGCCAATTATCCAAATTTAAATCAGGAAAATCTAGTTTTAATACAGACAGCGCATTACTCGCGACCACCCAGAGGAAAGGCCGACTAGCTTAAACACAGTATCCCAAGCTTTGATGGTAATCTTAGTAGTGGGAAACATCTCAGCTATCCTCGGTCGCCCAGACATCGGAAGCCACAGTATTTCTTTAATAGAATATGGTGACATCCTATAATTTTCCATCTCAAGCCAGCGTGGAATCTGACTTTGTAGGCCAAACTTAAGTACTGCAGCGGCATTAGTTGCCTGGCAATATTTTTTTTTAAAATCAGGTATCCCTAAACCTCCACAAGACTTGAGATTTTTCAATACTGAAAAATTATGCTCATCTTATTTCCCCTTATAAACTTAATTAGAGCAGATTGAACGGTTTTAAAGAATGTCTTTGGAATTGACAAGGGAATAGTTCTCAAGTAGTATAGTATTTTAAGTAAGATGTTCATTTTAAAAGATGTAATTTTACCTAACCAGGAAAGTTCCAAATTATTTCAGTTTTCCATTTCCTTTTGTAATATTGGCCAAGCTCTTTTAAGAGTAAATGTGT